GAATTAATGGAATTATTAATTTCGACCTTTGTACTGGATGTATTAATCTCTGTATTGGATTGTCGGGGGCACTGTTAGACACCATATCAGTAGCATTATTTTATTTACTGTAAAAAAAGTTTCTAAGCAGCATGAACTTCATATGTGATGTTGGTGTTCAGAAACCATCAAAGATTATGACATGTTTTGAATAAGCGTACTACTTTGAAACCCTCAACCGGGGCAATGTCAAACTCTACATGGTTTGCTTTGCGCATGTAACACTGTCAGTGTATTGATATAATACTGTGGTAACTGTCCTTACGAAACTAGTTCATTGAATTTTCGAGATTATTCTTAGTCTCGTCAAATATGGCGACATGATCAAGAGGTAGTTTTCATTTGTTTTCGACTGTTTTGTACCACATTTTCAGCTTAATATCAAAATGCTGTATACACTATTAACGCCCCAAATTAATTATTCAATTTTATAATCCCAATGTATTATTTCAATACTTTAAATTTGAGCACCCCGCATTAATCGGTATCTAAAACCGCATAATTGTTTGCTACTTCCTATGGTTGCTGATTTCTTAAACAATATTCGTTGTTTTACGTTCACATTAGTTTCCATTATTTAAGCACCTTCAGGATCGTTTAGTAAACGACGTTTACCTAAGGTCAAGACATAAAGACCAATGGAAAGTATGTATGCAAGTGGAGCGTGAGGGTATACATTCTCTAGCACGCCTTGCCCTCTGAGCCATCAGCCGGAATGTACCAGCAGTGCTTGGTCGCTACACCGCCAATTGTCGTGTCCTCCCATTTCTCGGTGAACTTCCACTTGTTGTCCGCTGTGTGATATTGAAGCTTCATCCAATCCTTCGACGCCTGCAGCGAGAAGAAACCGTACTCACCAATAGTGTACGACCATTCGTTCTTCACAAGGCCGGCTGCAAAAGGCTGAATAGTACTCACTTTCCCAGACTGTCGCCCACCACCAGCACCATTTTCGACGAAGTGGACCCCAATAGACTTTGCATAGTCGTGCTTCTCAGCATGAGTGTGACCGTGTAGAAAGGCTCGAACGCCAGAGTTTTTCAGAGTATCAAACCACTTTTTCATACCAGGCTTAGCGTAGTGATCGTAGGGACTGTAGTGGCTGTTAACGATCTTCCACGTTGCGTCAGATTTGGCTGCCAG